AGACTTCCAGGCTGGTGCTTTGTATCATGCTGAAATGTAACCTAAAAATTAAATCCTGCCTAGTCCGGTCCTAGCTAACTGAAAATGGCAAGCATAATGCAGTGTAACCGATTTTATGTATTAATCACTGAAGAGCACCTGAAGCTGGAGTTTTAAGATGACTGTGTATTCCAATCAGTGGAATTGCTCCTGACAGTCGCAGTTTAACGCAAGTGCATATTTTGCAGGTACATCCTGCTGGCCAGCAGGTGACATTCAGCAGCATTTAACACAGAACATGTTCTTCTTGGAGACCAGTGAGACAGGCGCACCTTCAGCCTTCCTGCCTCGTCTCTGACACCAGTCGAGGGGACAGACATCTTCATGGCCATGTAGACACAGTTCCAGAGCACCCGCTGGAAAGTACAACTTAAGGGCAATGGGAAATGATACCTTGACTCAGGAGTTTCCAGGAACGTGTCCTTCAGGGACCAGTAAAATAAGGGTGGGGGGCTGACACAGAGCTGACAACTGTTTGTACTGTCAGGTGAGAACATTAGAACAAACTAACACCAAGAAAAGAGAAATTAATACACAAACTGTGATACGTCCATACAATGGAAGCTATTCAGCAATAAAAAGAAACAAATTACTGTTATTCTCAACTTCACGGACGAATCTCTAAAATGTCATGCTAAGGGAAAGCAATCAGACACAACAGAGGAAATGCAGTATGATCCCATTTATAGGCATTCTAGAACAGACACAGCTAATCTATAGTTACAGAAAGCAGACTGTTGCTCGCCTGGACGCTGGAGATAGGCACTGACTATAATGGGACATAGGAAACTTTCTGGAGTGACTGAAATATTCTAAATCTTGATTGGCATGGTGGGTATATGGGTGTATACCTACGTTAAAACTCACCAAACGACACTTAAAATGTGTACGTATGTAAATTATGCCTCAACAAAGCCGATTTAAAAAAATCGAATGTGACCAAAAACAAACAAATAACTCTCTACTTATATATTATCACACAGGTATTTCACAAAAGAAAGTTCTTTTTAATTTTCCCCAAAATAAAGCAGGTATAAAAGACAGTCCCTGTGAATCAAATATAGTTTAGTTTAATGAAAAACTCTGATTTTGTAATTTTAAAGTTTAGTGACAAAACCTCCTCAGGACCCATCAAGGATCAGAAAATGAGCATTTGGAAGCCAAGCTTTCTCCCTCCCCTCGCCCAAACTCCACGCTCCATACCCTACCTCCAATGCCTTTAACATGCCCATCACTACTTCATTCAGCAACAAAGAGACAGTTTGGAGCTACCAGAGTGGAGCTTAAAATGGCAAGTGGCCAGGAAGAAGGAGTGATTTAAATGACTGATAAGCTCTATATAAGGAAGAGGTGAGCAGAAAAGGGTAGGGAGGTAGCGGGTGCGAATAAGTAAGGAAGAAGTTTTTTTAAAAAGAGAGAGCTGGGGCAGCCCATACCTTGGGCCTGCCTTGCCAACTCGTCAAGTGGAGATCTCACCAAAGAGACTTTTGTGTGTGTTCACACTAGTCAGCTCGGCCCCTTAAAGCAACTGGCAGTAACCACCAGCCAGTTACACATTTAACAGGGTCTCACACCAGGGCGGGTGTCAAGATCCTGCTGAGCTGATCCCAGAGGGCACAGGATCTTGCTGTGTGTATTCAAACCCCAGAAGCAGGCTGTCTAAAAGAACTTTAAGATCATCATGCGGAAGGATAGAAAACAAAAATTGATTTTTTTCTTTTTAAAGAGAAGCAATAAGAATTTTTCTAAAGTATGAAGTCCAATAATATAAAATATCTATATATACTAACACTAAATATTCTTTCATAAAGGCCTACAACTAAATAGAAAATAGTTTCTTTTAAAAATAATTTTTACTTTCGCCTTCTTAAATCCACTAGCTCATCAAGAGAAGAATTTATCAGTAGCCAAATTACTAACCTGTGTGACTGTTTCTTCTAGGAAACATTGCCTATACTTAAAATTTACAAATGATGGATGGAGGAGACTGGAACATTTAATTTTCAAATTCAAAACTCTGAGAAAGAACAAATAACCAAGAAAACCCCACAAGACCCACATGAAGATACAACTGCACATCTAAAGTCATTAAGAAGATTCCAAGGGTAAAGTCTCTTTCATTCCCTAAACCTTTTTATTTTTAATAACAAACATGCATCCAGCACTTAGCATGTGACAGGCACTGTTCTAAGTGCTACATATATACACGTACACAGCCCTCACACAACACAGTCGGGCGGGTTTTATTATCTTCATTTTACCCATGAAGCACAGTGGGGTTGCGTGACCGGGTGAGGTTACCTGGAGGAGACTGGCCAGGACATTAGTGTACCCAGTATACTTTAATAGCTATGCCTTTACCAGAGCAAAGCCATTTTTATTTGTTTTGTCAGACTGTGTTTCTAGTTCCAGGCTTTGATTATCTCTGTAATGGGGTGTGCCCTCAAGTACAGGGGCATACCTATCTGTGAAGGCATCAGGAGGCCCTTCCTAAATGGAGAACGAGGAACTCTCCAAGTAAAAACTAACAGTCCATTTCTGGTGCTAGTGATTACAGCACCGTGATGAACACAAAAGGAAGCAGAACAATGCCGCGCTTTCAGAACGTGGCTTTGATAATAAGTTCAAAGGAAGCAGAACTCTTTGGATTTGGATTTTACGTATTTTGAAGTGAAAGCCTGGACTCTGAACGGCTCCATACGGTTTTCTGTACCTGGTTTCTCCAACCTGCCTTTATAGTAGCACCTTTACAATTTTTGCCACATCTGCATGGCATCTGTATTATTATTTGCTTGCAATTTTTACTTAAATCAACTCAGCTAAAAATAAATATCTTCTTTATCCATGTCTTAAGTTCTATCTGTGAAATCTTCAACTGTAGATGATAGTGGTATTTTACCAACACATTTATCTATTAAAATAGAATAAATCCATATACCAACTGAAGTCATCGTATGCCTTCCAGTGCTGTGAGTTCTATGTTTTTGGAGAAATCCTTTACTCCCTAATTGAGCAATATGTAAATAATGCAAACGCACCATCAGAAACTATTTTTATATATGTATATACTATTACAGGAGCCCTGGTGGCACAGTGGTTAAGAGCTTGGCTGCTAACCAAAAAAAAAGTCAGCAGTTTAAATACACCAGCTGCTCCTTGGAAACCCTATGGGGCAGTTCTGCTCTGTCCTATCAGGTTGCTATGAGTTGGAATTGACTCGATGGCAGCAATGGGTTTGGTTTTTATTTTTCTTATATACCATTACAAGGAGCCCTGGTGGCGCAGTGGTTAAGTGTTTGGTTGCTAACCAAAAGGTCCACAGTTCAAATCCACCAGCCACTCCAAGGAAAGATGTGGTGATCTGCTTCCATAAAGATTACAGCCTAGGAAACCCTATGTGGCAGTTCTACTCTGTCCTGTAGGGTTGTTACGAGTTAGAATTGATTTGAGGGCAATGGGATTTTTTTTTTAAATATACTATTATATACATGTACAACTAGAACTATACACATACCCACACGCACAAACACCATTTAGAATGGCTGAGAACACCTGAAAAGGAATTTAACAGGAATTGGGCATTAGGTTAGGGCAGTGGGAAATACTAGACCAAGGACATGGGATAATGTTTGAATAAGAAACCACAGAATCTGGCCGGTATGTTAACATTAACAACAACATACAAGCAACCAAGCAACAAACGTTCTCAACACAAGCCTCAAATATATAAATTAATGACCAGGTTAAAAAAAATAGAAATTTTATATGGAGATTTTAAAATCTAGAAACCTAGTTAATTAGAAAAGAAGTTATTTTGCACTGTTTCTTCAGGAAAACTGAAAAAGATGGATGCCTGCAGGGAGAAATCCCCCAGAGCCCTGGGGGTGCCCTGAGGTGCATCAGCAGCTGGGGAGGTAGCACTGGTTTCAGGCTCCTACCCTGCAGCAGCTCTAAGTCTCTGCTTTCTACAGCGCTCTTCAACCTAAGACAGTCTTTGAACAAAGGGCTTCTCAGGGAAGAAGAAATTTGGAAACCACTGGTGTCTTTCAATCTTCTCATTTTGCCAATAAGGAAACTGAGGCTCAGAAAAGTTAAAAGACTTACTTAGGGTCACTCATCAAACTGTAAGAGAACCACAGTCTACAAAATTCAGCATCTAGATTTCCAATCTGGTATTATCCGAACAAAACCACCTCCGAGAATACTCTTATGCATTAATATACTGGTGACGCTGGTGGACTTCATTATATCAATGCCCTCATCTATCCTTGAATATAGAGAGGGGTTTATCATTAATTCCTTGAGGGGGCGATGGTGGCCAGCAACATTTTATGAAGTGTTACGAGTCAACGGAAATAAATTAGAAATAAAGATGAAGTCATTATTTCAGAAAGTCTGATGTAAGGAAACACAAGCACATATCTTCCTGAAAAGTTGTATAAATCTAATAATGTTTTAAACAGATTAGGAGAGCTTCCCAATTAATAATAATAGAAACAACAACAGCATCAATAGTAATAATAGTAACAGCTATCATTCATTGTTTATTATATACTAGTCATTAGACTTAGCACTTCATATGTATTGATATCCCTGCGACATAAATATCATTTCCATTTTACAGATAAGAGAATTGAGTCTAAGCTCATGGGCAGGGTGACCAACTGTCCTGGCACCCCTCAGTCCTGAGCAAACCAGGATGGCTGGTCACCCGACCTATGTACTGGTTAAGTGTGGGAACTGTCTAACTACCCAACCACCGCTACCTTTTATGGGATAGTTTTCCTCTGTGTTGTACAGTCTAGAGTTTCACACACTGGGCTTAAAGAAAGGTGTGACTGATATCTTACAAAATAAGATATTCACTTGTAGCTTCGTCATCTTTTACAAAAAATGAAAGAGAAAGCACTGCATAGCATCACTCACTCACTCCTCCAGAAAGGTAAAGAAGGTACACTTACCTTGACCTCAAACTCGAAGTGCTCATCCTTTCCTTGTCCACAGAGAACATAGCGTGGAATACTAATTTTAATTGGGTCCTTCAGGTCGTATGGATTTGCTCCCAAACAGCGAGAAACCATCCGCTATCAAAGGCACATCAGACAGGGAGAACAAAGAGAAACCAAGATCACTCCACTGAAAATACTCTGCTCAGGTAGGAGAAAGAAAATGTGTTTCACCTAGAGAAAAGAGCATCAAATCTGTAGAGTTTATTTAGAAAAATGAAGGTTTCCTTTTAAAGAAAAGTGCTAAGCCTCTCTCATAACAAAAGATCATTCTTTAGATATACCATTCAAGAAGTTAGGGCAAAAGCACTTCAAAACGTTGTTTGGCTTTGAAGTTCCTTCCAATTTACAAGAACAAGTGAACAAAGGGATAGATTATGTATTCTGACTTTAAAAAATCAGTATAAACCAGATTCCTTTTTGAAATATTTTGACCATCGAACAAACTTCTTTTTTCTTCACAGACAATCAGACTGCTGAACATAAAACTGCAAAAGCTGGAAATTTTATTCAAATTTACTTCATTTTTAACTTCTAGGCATTTTTATAAGCCAGCGTTGTGTGGAAAGCTCTTTGTACCACAATTTAAAAAAAATCCCAAGTATTCTCTTAAGGTGTCATTTGATAAAAAATAATCAACATGGTCTGACAAATATGTACGATCTGGATGGCAGAAGCCAGAAGGGTTTCACAAGATACATTATGAAAAAAAATAAATCTTCAAAATGAGTTTTCTTGAGTGTGAATGGGAGAAAAATCTCTAAATAATTCTTATAATTTGCACTAACCTGGGGCTTTGGAAAACATAAGAAAATATGTTTTGGGAGTAGTAGCAGTAACAACAAAAATAATAATTAGAGTTAGCATGGATTGAATACTTACTATATACCAAGAACGGTGCTAAACCATTTATATGCAGTGCTCCACTTTAACCTCACAATTCCCCTATGAGGTACTAACCATTATTAACCATATTTATCAGATGAGAGGCCAAGACTGAGAGTTTAGGTAACTTGATTGAGTCAAGTAGCAGAGCCAGGATTTGGATTCAGGCTAATCCGGAGCCCACTTTCATCGCCACTATCATAAAATTTCAAAGTAATTTCATCCATCTGAGATAAACTGAGCTAACAAACACGTCAAATATACACAGAAACACAGAATTGAAGACGAAGGAAACTCCATGATTCTGCAGTGAGATCCACTCATTTGACTGAAAAGAAAACTCTAGACAATGAGTCCTCTTTCTCACAGGCAGAAAGGGTCATGGACCCTTAGATCCTTAGCCAGGGTAACACGGATGGCCCATATGTGTGTGAAAGTACCGGTTTCTGGATGACATAAAGGCTCATGCTTTGTGTGAGATTACTGCTTTCATTCTAGCTTTGGCATGATACACATGAAGCTACCAAAGTCTTTTAAAACATCCTAATCTGCTCCCCCTGGCCCCCAATGGCTGATCACCCAAGACAAGAACCATCAATTGCTTATTGCAATAATGCTATTATATTTAGCTGTCCTTAGTATCAAAAACCATAGTGAAAATTCTTAAAATGAGGGTTTCTTAATATGTGCATTACCAAAGACCTTCAATGGACTTTCAGTCCACTGCCAAATTTCTTTAAATGTAGACATTTCCTGACACATGAAATACATTCATCTATTTAAAGACAGAAAGGCAGAGAATTTGGTGGTCTTACTTATTTTCAAAGAGTACATTAATGTTAAGAAATGTCTTTGCCAACAAATGCCCTGGCTTAGTCATGTGGTTCTTGCTCTGCTGATTAAACCCTAGACCCTTAAATGTCCTGCTTAATAACTATGCTCTTCAGGTATGCACATAATTTCTACATCTGATACAATTCTTTGAGAATCGATTTGTTGTACTATGTGTGTGTGCCTGCATGTGCAAGTTGGGTTGGGATCATGTTATACCTAGGGACAACCTCAGCAAAAGGGGAATGCTACTGTAGAGATTTCAAGCAACAATTAGCAACTGATAACACTAGCTGAGAAGGAAAGATCCACTCATTCTACCTTAGGAGGAACCTGAACACTCCCTACAGATTAGACCAAAAGGCCAACACTATGGCTGACTTGGTGAGGAGTTGTTTGTGTAGAGTTATTAAGTTCTGTCCTAAGAAATGAGAATGAGGAAAGGGAGGAAGAAAGGCAATTTATCATTTCCCTTCAACTAGGTGGGAACGGTAATAGAAAAAAATTCTTAAACATCACAAGATCTTGTTGGGGACCACTGGCTTTCTTTCAACCTTATCTACTGGACTTTTGTCACTTTAGGCATGTAGTTGTCACACAAGTATTTACTGAAGAAGAAGTTTTGAAAGACAAATTTTACCTTTTCACAATTTTGCCTTAGGATACCTTCATTTATATACTCGAATTTTTCAAGGTCAAGTGTATTATTGGTTCTCAAAAAGGCATGGATGACAGTAACAATAAATGTAAGACAACTGGTATTGTATCTCTACCATTATCTACTCTCCTGAAGCAACCACAGGAAACGGACTTGGGATTCCAGGTGGTGTTCACTTCAGAGATGCTGAAAGAGAGAGAAAACTCAGAACTAAGGTTCAGCTCTAGAACTTGGTCTCTGAGTAACTTACCCTCCCTGAACCTCAGTCTCCTCCTCTATGGAATGTGGCATGACATGTATCAAATTCCAATTCTATGGTAGGAATCCAACTGTGAACAAGACAGAATCCTGCATTTGTGGGAGTTATGATTAGAGGCCGACTCTGACAAGTAAACTGATAGTTACAGCATAGTGGGATTAGAAGGTTGTGATGAGGGACTGAGTGAGAAGGTGTATGAACATGCACACTGCTATCTAAAGGTCACCATTATCGCTGAGGGAGGGCTGAGGTCAAAACGGCCCTGGGTATATTCTGCTAGCTAAGTCACAGAAACTTAACTTCAACTTTCCAAATGCCTTTTTCTAAGGGCACCCCTAGCATATACAATCAAATAAGGATATCCATTAGTGAGCACCAACACTGTCAACACAGAGCCAGATCCTGAGAATAAACTATAACTTTTACAAAGTATTTGTAATTTTTAAGACCTTTAGTTTTAAACAAGATTTGGTTGTTCCACTCTACCTTAACTTTCTCTTTTTATAAGTCATATTTCAAAATGTGATAAGACTATAATTGATGGTCTAGTTATTTCAGGAGCCTGTTAAGACTGGAAAGTTCTCTATTCCAATAACGTATAATTGTGAAATTAATCCCTAACGAAAAGAAAGTTGCTTGAAGCTCAAGTTGATATATCCTTTACAGAAAAAAATCTCTGCCTTTGTTAACTTCATTGGGTATATGAATTAAGTAGGGAATAGTCCTCTGGGAGGGAACAGATCTCCTAATGTTTACAAAGCTTGCCTAAATCTAGGACAGCCCTTTACATACCCGTACCTGCATGTGTACCTCAAAAGGTCATTCCAGACTGGATACAGGAGCCACTGCCTTTTTTTTTTTTTTTTTAACACAATACTCAAGGGTGACAATCTTTACTCCTTTGGCTAAACTGTTACTAAGTTAAAGGTGACTTCAGGGAATAGTTTCAATTCAAGGTTTGAAGAGCAATCCAGGGCCATAGTCTCAGGGGCTCCTCCTGCCTCAATAGGTTCAGTAAGTCTGGATTCTTGAAGAATTTGAAGTTCTATTCCACATTTTTTTCCCATTTTTATCAGGATTCATCTATTGTCTCTGATCAGAACATTCATTGCTGGAAGCTGGGCACCATCTAATTCTGGTCTCAAGGTGGAGGAGGCAGTGATTCATGGAGAAAATTAGTCCTGCAGTCTGGTTCTTCCTAAATTTATTTTTGCTTTGAAAGTAGCTATATCTTGAATATCCTGAGTTTTATACTAGACAAGTAAATGTGTACAATATCACATTATATTCCATTACTTATGGATGCTTTTAAAGTTCGATTGCATTCTTTATTTTGGATTCAGTCACAGTTTCTCTACATGCAGCAAAGACTAATCTTAGATTTGGAAGGGGACGTCGGCTACACATCGTAATAGGAGGTAAAGAAACATGAAGAGTGGTATGTTTGAAGCATCTCTCTGAAACAGCTCCAGTATGGATAAAAGTATAAGACATTTCAGGCCACTGTTAAATGCACCGCAGAATGGTTTTATTTAGAAATGAAAAGTCAAGAAAAAGTACATAATTAGTAACTTATCTGTTTCTGTGCATAATAAGCATCATCTTTCAAAATAAAAATATAAAGAAATACTTTCTCATAACTTTTAATGAAATAACATTCTTGTGTCAACAAATATGCCATTTTCCATTGTGGGTAAAACACTGTAGTTGGGTTCTTAGCCAAAAGAAACAGGCAGAACATGGGCTACATTTTAAATATTCAGATTAGAATCTTCTCTACCTCCTCAGGCTGTCTCTTTCAAAAGGGACAAATTATGGAAATTAACAGGAAGTGGTATTAACATCCACTCAGATTACTATCAGACACTGCAGAGGGCTCTGAATGGTCCAGTTCTAAAAGGAGTCAGAAACTTTTCTCCCTAAACACTCTAATTATGTAATGGATGGATGAGTTCAGTATACGCTTGACTATGACAAGGTCAGACCTAAGGACTGCCATCTAACCCCTTAGAGCTTATATCCAAGCTTTGCTTCTAAAAATACAGGCAAACCTGAGTTTTATCAGATTTAACAAAATTAATAATTCTCTTCTGTTTCCAGCAGAGCACATAGTTCTAATACTGCCCTTTTTCAACCACACGTCATGATAGTTTTAATTAGAGCTACTATTTATCAAGCACTTACTATTATGTCCCAGTGGTCTGAAAATGGAGACCTGGGGCAGGAAAGATGGTGAGAATGTTATATTCTCAAATACAAGCCATGTTATAAGAAATATGGAATAAAGGTGACTTGTGTGAGCGGGTGCAAATTATTAGTATGGTAAATAGCCTAGACATGTTTACATTCACCTTCAGAAGGTGAAGTCTACCTATGTAGTATAGGGACCTTATCTTTATTCCATGCTACCTTTAAAGCTTAGGAAATACAACTGAACTGCATTTT